ACAACAAATTTACTGAAGTCTGTAAAATATTTACAAAGACTCAATTTATGCCTACTTTATTTCACAAGCAGCAGCTGCAACAAAAATGCTTTTTTACCTTCTAAACATGGCAGATTTTACTACAACAATATATATATATATATATATATATAGATAGATAGATAGATAGATAGATAGATATACACAACAGTTCAAAAGTTTAAAGTAACTCTCTAGAATTAATATAGGATGAACTTGACAGAAGAGTGAAAAAAATATGAAAAAGATCTCTTAGAGTCAGTAAATAAAGAATGGGATCAATTATCAAACTTATACTTTGAGAAACGTTTGCAACAAATGCCAAAAATTTGTGCTGCAGTAATCCAATCTAAAAGGAGGATATTTTGTCGAGAGCAAGATTTAATCATAAAATGCCATTTTCGTCATAGTAAAATCTATAATAAAGATAAAAATCTAAAACAAATAAAAAAATTGAAATTAAAACGGAAACAAAAACTTACAAAATATGTATAATAATTTTCTGTTATTTAAAGTACAAAAAACCTACATTTTGGTCCAATTATAAAATTACAGGGGTTGCTTCAAACCTTTGAACTATAATATATATATATATATATATATATATATATATATATATATATATATATAAAAAAATATAGTCTTAAGGTGTGCTATATTTATGGGATAAAGTGCTCAATATCAGAGATGGAGCGTGTGTAAATATAAAAGTGAACATAGAAGTCAACACTTAGAGGCGACAGTCTGTTTCATGCTATCTGCAATCGTCGTGGCCTGACGATTGCATATGTTCATTTTATATTTATTATATATATATATATATATATATATATATATATATATATATATATATGCAATTTTTAGGGCTCCTTTTCTCGCCCCTCCCTAACTAAGGGGAAAGCAGTGGTAATCATAAATAGGCCTGCTTTGTCACCAATGGAGGATACGAACCGCACAAACTTAATTATCTTGGCAGCAAAGTAAATTCAAGTGGAACATTGGATGATGAGATAATCAATAGACTGGCAAAAGCCTCTAGTGTCTTCGGAAAACTTCGTCATCGACTTTGGAAATATCGTGATAATTAGGCTTGGAACCAAAATACAAGTGTACAAGGCTGTATTTCTCACAACCCTTTTGTATGGCTCAGAGTCCTGGACACTATACACAAAGCAAATTCAGCAAATAGATATTTTTCACAAAGGCTGTCTTCGGGAAATCTGTGGGGCAAACCTAAGCGACATAATGGCAAATGCAGACCTTTTCACCATGTGTGATATTGATGGTATTGAGTTCTTTCTCATGAAATCACAATTACGCCTGGACAGGTCATGTGTTACGTATGAAAGACAACAGAATTCCAAAAATGCTCATGTATGGTCAACTTGACAATGGTCATCAAAACTTGGGTCGGCCTTTGCTTAGGTACAGGGACAGGCTGAAGAGTAACCTCTTAGCTGCAAATATAGATCACACTACCTTTGAGAACATCGTAATTGATCGTAATGAATGGAAGATTACATGCTACAATGGCATCAAGAACAAGGCAGCATCAAACATTGTCAAGCTTCGTCAGACTAGGGAAAGGAATAAAATATTTGCTGCTGTTCCAGCCATATACTCCAATAATCCACACTCTTGTACAATCTGTGGACTTTGCAAATCACTGGCGGGACTGAAGTGTCACTTGCGACTCACGCACAAGGTTAAATAAGCAGAGTTGTTGGAACCTCATACGTCGAAACCGACGGGAGAGTCCATCATATATATATATATATATATATATATATATGGCATATGCGTGATTTTTTTAATTTGTTTGATAAACAATTTCTCGCTTTTGTAAAGTAATTTCATTAGATATATTTTCTTTAATATTATTAGTATCCATGGGAGTGCTGAAAAATTCCAAGTCGGACACACTACCCAAGGATGTGCGGGTGTTGTAATGAATAGCGTGCTGGGAATTAGAAATACGAGAGCCGAGTTCGAATTCCAGTTACGTTCATTACATTCATTTACGGTCAAAAATGAGAAATTTATGAACCTATCTCTTCACCCATATCCAAGAGTTACATAGTTACGCTTGTATCTGTGGAAAAAAAACACCCTACATCCACAAAAGTTAATGAAATATTCACTCGTAACGGATAAAAGAAAAAATATTAATCATGCAATCCAAAAATATTTGGCCTATAAATATCTAACAAAGGGTTGATAAACCATAAAATACTAATCTCTTAAATTATCACTTCCCAAAACTAACAATATATATTTTATGGAAGGCCTTCTGGGTCGGGTTGAAAACTTTTCCGTAATCTTTATAATATTGATGTTATATACTATTGATATATATATATATATATATATATATATATATATATATATATATATATATATATATATATATCGAAAATTTTGAAAATAAATTATTAAAATTAGTTTAATTATATATATATATATATATATATATATATATATATATATATATATATATATATATCTCTCTATATATATATATATATATAAATATATATTAAATATATTATATATATATTAAATATATTATTTTATATGTTAAAAATTCTCTTCCTTTTCCGTGCGCCGATAACTTAGAGGTAGAAGCTCTAACTGATGCCAAATCGGTCGAGTTTCGAACCCGCTTTGAAGCAATCCGGTATCAAAACTCAACTGATTTAGCTAGAAGCAATCGGATAAGCTGAGAAACCGCCTTGTATGTGGATGACTCTCTCTCTCTCTCTATATATATATATATATATATATATATATATATATATATATATATATATATATAATCCCGGATTCAAGAATTTCTTCTTTGCTGATCGCTCCCTTTATGACGATGGCGTTAATGACGAAATTCGCTGCCAACGTTCAGGACTAGAAATTTACAGTTTCGCCCAAACCTGCTTTATTTGGTTGGAGGCGAAAGAAAGTCTAAAAAGTGCCAATGGCGTGAATCTGTTTAAGGTGGACGCCAACTTGCTAGGAATTGGCTATTATTTCAGGGGAAAGTAATTATATATATATATATATATATATATATATATATATATATATATATATATATATATATATATGATTTGTGATATAAACGTTATATTTTGTTGGTACACTTTGTTGAGTAGACATCCCTTTTTCTAGCAATGACAAAAGATTGCTCAGCCGAGTCGTTAGAATTATTTTGACCGGGTTCGAATTTCACCATAGTTGATTTTTCAAGGGTTGAATTCTTGAAAATATCGATTTGGAGAGACGATCGCAGTGCGCATCACTGTTGGGAAGTGTCTAGCAGCCATACCACTGGCATGGGCACCAGTGGGTGATGTGCGATATTGCGTAGACGAAACTGTTCAGGAGCCGTCGATTGATGGGCTAGGATCAAATTACAAGTCATCGTGACCAAGGGTTTGGCGTTCTGCTCTCTGATCGCACCAGATATTCGCTTACTCTCAGAATCTGTAAGTATGTCCCGTACAGCATAGTTGCAGTATAAAACAGACACTGGATCTGCGTGTGTTCAAGAAACGTGTCCGCACACCGGTCTGCAACAGGGATAAGCTAGACGTCCTAGCACTGCACAAGCATTCTAATTATTTTGCTGAATGAAACAGAAAATTGTTTTGATTTATGGGCAGTTTTCAAAAATGTTGATTCCTTGGGATGTGCTTTGGAAATCGTAGCGATTACTGGAATGATAAGATGCTTCGGAATAGCAAGTCATCAGGCTACCTCCTGTGCGTTTGATTTTTTCAGATGTAATATCAACCCAGTTAGGCAACGAATGCGATTTATATAGAAATTGTTTTTTATTGAATAGTTAAAAACGGAGAAACCATATTTTGATTGCTTCTTGTTCTAATATTAATAGATGTTGTGGATTCCGGGATAAAATCCGGTACCAATAAATAACAAACGCCAAGAAGGAATATTGGAAAATAATGTATTAACGTAATAATACAAACTGGTAAAGCAGGTTAGTAGTTCCAGGAATACGTGTTAGTAGCAAAATATATATACAATCTATCTATCTATCTATCTATCTATCTATCTATCTATCTATCTATCTCAGATTCGAAGGCGCATATCATTTTACATTATATAATACAAGCCTAAAATGTTACGCCACTTCCCAACTATTGTCTTCTGAGTCGGATTGATTGACTATTTTCATGAAGGAAGCAACTACTAGACTAGCCGTTAAGTTGATTCTGTGAAGGGACCAATTTTCTCACAGTATCGCTGTATGACTTCTTACTGAGTCTACGTACTCGCTCACTGTGACTCCTACAATGCTGTTACCTCACCCCTCACTCTTCCGGTTACCTACAACCTTTTACTCTGTCACTCTGGACTCGACTCTTCGGTCTTGCTCGCTATTTATCGATCCGCCCACGAGGATTGAATATGGCACAAGGCCGGTTTAGTGTGGGTATCCCCGAGCCCGTAGGCTCGGCCAAAAATATAGCCTTTTTAGAACCGCATTGACGAATTCAGGCCCTGTCTACCTCCCCGAACGAAACTTTGCCCTTCGGCAAAGCTTCGTCCGGGTTCCTCTCTGCTAATGCAGAGAGTTTGACAGTCGTCGCTTACAGTCAAAGACTGTATTACGACAGCTAGACTCGAAGGTCTCGCTCTCTCGGGTTTTGACGTAGCCATAGTATATGTATATACTGGGTGAGTCCATTTGTGTAAAAAGGGGAGAACCCCTCAACAATAGATCTTAAACTCCTTTCATACCATTTCCAAAAAATAATCTAAACGATTTCATCCTCATCCCGATCATCTGAAGAGATTGTGACAAGAATGCAAACCTGGAATCTATTATTAATGTCAGAGTTCTGCAAAGACATTGCCTGGTGGTATTTCACTAAAGATGAGTGAGTGCAGTGCATGACATAAAAAAAACCGTCTTAAGCTGTGCCCTCACGTTTTTTAATTGTTAGCGCGTTATTTTCGCTTTACTGAATTGTCCAAGTTATATGATCGATTTTCTTACGCATGACATTAGGTAATAGTGGCCAAATAAATATGAGGTAGACGTGAAGAACATGATAAATAGACGTGAACACGTTCAGATAGATGGGAGAAAATTTTAGATAGATAGATACTAACACGATCGGACAGATAAGAGCAAAGTTAAGCGGATAGATAGATAGATAGATAGATAGATAGATAGATAGATAGATAGATACTAACACGATCGGACAGATAAGAGCAAAGTTAAGCGGATAGATAGATAGATAGATAGATAGATAGATAATAGATAACCAGATAGATAGAGATAGATGATAGATAGAGATAGATATATACGATCGGACAGATAATAGAAACAGTTAACCATATAGATCATTTTGGGATAGATAGATAGATAGATAGATAGATAGATAGATAGATAGATAGATAGGAACAGACTGAGATAGATAGATAGATTGGAACAAGCCGAGATAGATAGATAGATAGATAGATAGATAGATAGATAGATAGATAAGAAAAAGATATAATGATATAGAAGAAAATATCCCATATAATAGATTTTAACATTTTAGCAAATCACCGAATAAAATTGAAAGTTAAAAAAACACTACCAAATAACTGTCATCTTACAGTAAAATCCTGAGAAATATTTACGCCGTTGATAGAGATGAATAGTTTAAGCTAAACAGAATATAAAAGAATATTATCTTGCATGATTATATTCTTTACATGACAGTTTTTTTCTGTTTTTTCCTGCATTATTCAAGAAACATATTATCGAAGAAATTACAATAATTCTCAGCATTTTCCTAAACACCATCATCAAATTCGAAGGCGCATATCATTTTACATTATATAATACAAGCCTAAAATGTTACGCCACTTCCCAAATATTGTTTTCTGAGATAGGACTATTTTCAAGAAGGAAGCAACTACTAGACTAGCCGTTAAGTTGATTCAGTGAAGCTCTACGTTCATCATTAAAATACTTTTAAGAAATCCATTGTTTAAATACTTATATACGAATATCTTTCTTTTATATGCTTACTTAAACGTGAGAGTTTCGTGGATTTATCGACTGTTTTAAGGAAATGTTTTCAAAATTCTAGTTGTTTTCTGTCTATTTACAGCTTGTTCAAATGTTTTTCTTGTTAGTCTCTGCACTTTTTCTTGATTATTCCCTTTCACGTTTTTTTTTACAGAACTCTTTTCGATGTAAAATGAAATCGATTTTCGTTTCTCTTGCCAGTGTTTTATTTCCTACATATCTAGGATCTCTGTTTAGCTTTTACTAACTATTCAATATCCATTTCTCATGCTTTAGAAATAAAGTTTTCGCTTCTCTTGCTGATGCGTTAACCGATTATACTGAAATATTCTGTTAGCCTGTAGATAAGAATGGCGAATCTCGGCTTGTTGCTTTGAATATCTCGAAGGCGTCTGACAGGGTTTTGCATGATGGTTTTCATAAGTTGAAGAATTATAGTATTTCTGTGCGAATCTTTTAGCGATATTTATTCTGTAAAATATACAGAAATGTGGTACAAGGCCGAAAAGGGGATTGGGGAAAGGATGGTCTTCCTCTGTCTTAACTATAACTTAGCTAGCCGCAAACACTGACCCAATCGTACGAAACAATATTCCTTACACCAAAACAACACATTCATACGTACCTTTCTAACTACAAACACCATAATACCTCATCGTCTCTATGAAAAAAACTAACTATTCCCCATATATACCATTCAGTGTCTGTGGGGCGGGGGGAAATAAAACAATAATTATACTAAATTAACCCCAATGAGTATTTACAATATGAATACAAAACTATTTACAAGAAATTAAATAAAATCCGATTAGTAATAAAAAAACCCACAATCACTAAATGTGGCAGAAACATCAGTTCACTAGCCGAAATCAATGCGGGACTATAATAGTATAAAACAATCATTCATCCCACGCACACACACTGACATGCGCTCATTCAAACACAACAGCAAATACGAAAACACTCACGCGAAACGAAAGGCGGCCCGCATCCACGAGCGAACTGACATCACTGACCACCTAAAGAGGGAGGGGATGGGTAATTAAACTTAAAGAAAAATAGGGACAGAAATAAAAGGGACCAATGAGCATACATACCCTAGCTAAAATAAAATCATGAAATAAAAGATGCCTTGAACGGGCTTCTAGATCTTTTTGTGTTAACGTGGGTATGTCCCCAGGGTTATATATTTGGGTAGACATAGTTCCTAATTTTAATCAATCTCTTTCCCGATATCATCAGTTTTCAATTCAGTATCTATGATGATGATAAAATATTTTACTCGTGTCTTAATTGTAAGTCTGGTACGATAAAGTCAAATTGGAAGCTGATTTAAAAAAAAAATATATACCTACAATGTCTTGTTACTGTACTACTGTACTGATGCGGCATTCACCCTGGGCGGATTGAGCCGGCTTCTTCCTGTTATGAGAAGAAGATTCTTGGGATAAATTACAGAAGTAGGGTACCCAGGCCTACTCGAATGTCTTGTTAACTGCGACAAAAATTGTTTGTTAATTTTAGCAAAAAGAAACTGCTCTCTTTTTATCGTCTTTGAGAACCTTCTTTTTTTTTTTTTGCTTTCCATCCGTATGGCTGATGCTAACCGCCCGGAGAGTGGCGGATGTTGCCTTCTCGGACTAACGTTTTCCGTTGGCATAAAGTGGAGAGATTATGTTGAATCAATTGCTAGGTTTGCTACTGAGAAAGTAGGTTTACTGTGTTATGATAGACAATTTTTCTGGACAGAAACTATCTTACACAACTATTAGGTTGGTGCAAAAATAATGACGTAATAATGTCGTTTTTTGACGTTTAAAAATACGTCACAAAACGACATTATTACGTCATTATTTTTGCACCAACCTAATATAAGTTTACTATTCGTCCATGCTTAGAATATTTCTGCTACATCTGATATGGTGCTTCTTCTATGTACTATGTCATGTTTCATGATGAAATCTAACGCCGAATCAGCAATGTTATCGATCCTGACCTAGCATCTCCTCACATTTTCCCAGGGCGTAACCTAGATTCCCTGTGCCTTTTCTATAAATATTTTTATGATGATACCACTGATGAGATTAGTACGAGTTTGGCAGTGGGGTTTCATCGTTCTACAGCTTAAATTGCTTGATGCAACCGCAAGTTCTATGCTAACCGTTTCTTCATCCATATTTCTCGCTCGTAGAACTCTCTTTCGGCTTCATGCTTTCCAGCCACATTTGATCCCAAAAAATATAAATGGGATCGTTATCTTCTTAATTCCTGTTTTATTTTCTCGCTTCTCAATAATGTTTTTCAGTTCTGCATATTCTTTTACACTCAGTAACCTCCTTGTGTCTTAGTGGCTTTATTGTCTTGATTGAGATGAAATGAAAAAAAAAAAACAATTTTACAATCTCTTTCCTGTACAGCCTCTTCTCACTTAACGAACAGGTTCCGTTCCAATGATAAACGAATTGGTCGATAATACTAATAGTAATATTTCACATTTTCATGATATCAAGGATATCCTATACCTTCGATAATGTGGCACCACCGTTCATCCGGCTCTAATAATATAATAAAGAAAAGGTTTAAGGGAAACAAAACCCCAAAAGTTTTCTTTTAATTTACATAATCTTTCCATTTTGTTCAAAGTAGGAAAATGTATTTATTTATATATTTATGAAATTTTGGGATATTATTTTTATTTTTTTTTATCAACAGTGTCTGTCATTGCAAAATCAGCCTAAATTTACCATTTTAGTAGTCTCTCTAACGCAAAGAGAAACAAGGCCTTTTTTAATTAAAAGTTAGCATTTTTTATAAAAGTATGGAAGAATTTAATAAAATTATTAAAAAAATACTTTGCTCTTTCATCTTAATAGTAACATAAATCTTTAGAGCATAAACTTTGTTTTCGTCAAGTTTAAGGCTGTTTTTTTTTATTCTATACTCATTTTTCAGCCATCTCATGAAGATGACTACTGTATTATATCGTACATTATTCGTAGGGCATATCGTAAGTCCAAATGGTCGTTAAACGTATAAGTCAAGGAAATGTATATATATATATATATATATATATATATATATATATTGATGCATGTTTCATTAAATACCAACGGATTCCCATACTTAATACTTCTTGTTTTCACTCTCTCGTGGTCATGTGTGACGTAACGAGCAGCCGTGCGATTTTCGCTTCCAGCGTCTCGTATGCACGAGTTTGTCGTTGTTGTGAACAAAAACAGAATATGATTATTGTTTTGTCCGTGCATTGTTTAAAATATTGTAATGTAACTGTCATCTTTGATGATGGCTTATGTATGCCGAAAGCTTAGATAGGATTAAAAAATATGTATCAATATCGTGATTTTCTTCTGTCTTTTAATGATAATGTTATTAAGCTTATCAAACGATATGAAAAGAATTTACACAGAATAGACAAAACTTGTCTATATTATTTAATGAAACATGCATCAATGAAAATGCTGCCTAAACACACACACAATATATATATATATATATATATATATATATATATATATATATATATTTTGGTGAAAAACTAGGTAATCTGTATGGGTAGACCCAAGGAGGATAAAACCAGAGAGCCTCAATGTAAATCCAGAGCAAATAATTTAAATAAAAACAGACCACTTTAAGGTTCCATGTAATAAATTATTTCACCACAGCCCTTTTTAAAGGACTGCGGATCATCGACTTTTTCAAACAAAAATGAAAAGAAAAATAAACACATTTTCACGGGCCGTATTAAGCATATGTAAAATAACGAAGTGAGGAAGTTTTCTATAGATGTAATTTAATATTTCTATTCTTTCATACTTAAAATTACTTTCCAGACACGGTTAACTTAACGGAAGTTTGTTGATATAGAAGGTGTAGAGGAGAAAAAACACAAAAAAGAAAAGAGAGAAGGAAGTCATGAGAAGGTGTCACTCATTTTCTTTGGAAAAAAAACAGGCTCGAAAAAGACAGGTATTTCGTTTTTTTACTTTTAAAGTGTTATTTTGGGGTTCATTTATAATTTTTATGTAAATTTGAATGTCTTTATGTAAAATAATTTAATTTGATGTTTGTTAGTGATTTAAATTTTTGAATTTTGGGGATTTTCATGAAATAGTCGATTAGACAAATATTCATAGAAAGTACATTAAAAGAATAAAATTTTATTTTAAAATATAAGTTTACTTCTAGTAATCTTTTTTTTAATCTCTTTAAAAAAATTTATTATTGATTATTAAGTTGACATCTCTATCCGTTTGAATTTTGTTCATGAATTTAACTCGTGAGTGTTTCTAGATAGGTAATCTCTTTAGTTTAGTTAATATGGGGTAATATTTGAAGGTAATATTAAAGATCTTGCTCTGCCATATACTGTATACACACCCATGAAAATCTCACATATACAGACGTTCCTTTACATGTGCAATCACTCATACAGGTACCCATGTGCCGATATACACAGGTAATTTCATGTATTAACACCTACC